ATATATATATATTAAAAAAATTTAATAACTTATTGACGTGATAGAATAACTCCATTTTTATAGTAGTCAATTATTTCTTTGTTTCTCTCACGTTTTGTCGTTCTTATTACAAGTCAATAATGAACCACGTGAAAGAGACAAATGCAGGTTCGTTAAGGATCACAAACTGTTGTTTAATTTTAACTTGCCAAAAGGACTTTCTTGAGTTGAATTTTGTTGTTTATCTCCTGGTCTTTCTCTATTGTACTAGTCAATATTGAGCCTAATTAGATTTTTATTTAATTTGTATATACTTATTCACCGTTCTAGATCTCAAAGATGCATGCTCAATTAATTGTAATAAGACATATATTGCAGCATGTTACTATTTGAAAATGAGTCTATAAGCAGATCCACAATTTCAAGCTAAGTGACTTCTAAATTTACGGTTGCGACCGAGCAACCACCACTTATTTGATAGAGTCAAGAAACAAATTTTAATACATTAAGGGTTTGTTGGGTATGAGGTATAAGAAGGTATAAGGGTGGTATGAAAATTTAATACCACCTTAATATTCTGTTTGATTAGCAAATCAGGTATAAATTATCACGGTGTTAATTTTAACACCGGAATAACTTATACCTTATAGAAGGTGGGGTAATTAGCACCGGTATAACTTATACCTTCTTCTTAGAAATTATGTAATTGTCATTCTTAATACAACATACCAAACAATGAATAAACAACAATCCCAGCATAACTAATCACAGCATAACTTATCCCAATATAACTTATACCGGTATAAATCGTATTCCAACTAGGGGTCGTTTGGTTGGGTGTATAAAAATAATGCGGAATAAGGTATATTAGTAATGTATGGGTTAGTAATGTATGGGTTAGTAATGCAGATGTTATTTTTTATCTATTATTTGGTGTTGTGCATTAAAATTATAATGCATTGCATAATTATTAAGAAAAATAGTTGTTTATAAAAATACCCTCCATATTCTCTAGTTTTAAAGGACTTTAAGGATAATTTTGTATTTAACCATACTAATGCATGCATTAATAGTCATGGTATTAATAATGTCATGGTCTTCTATGCATTACTTATATATAGGATAATACCAAGTATGATGTATAATTAATACAAGTATTAGTTATACACATGTTAAAAAAATGTACCAAAGAAGGTATTAGTAATGCATAGAGCTAATGCTTGCATTATTTTTTCTAATACCCCTACCAAACGACCCCTGAGCATAAAAGAGGTTTTAAGTGATAAAATATATTTGTTCCAATCTTTTGTAAGGGTAGAGTACTCTCTACATATAACCAATGTATAATTTATATAAATCTCGGGTAAATTTTAATAATATTATCAAGACACATAGTTTATTATATAGTATCAGATTACCTAGGTAATTTGATTGATTTAAAGGTACGAATAGTTCTTCTCTATGTGAAATAACCCTTCTCTGGGCTTAGAACTTGCATAAAATATAGATCAGTAATTATAAGATAACGCGAAATCACCATATATTACTTCACCTTTTTCTTCAACTATTCTATAGAAAGTGTTACATATGGGCATTGTCTGGAAAAAATTGTCTGTTAAGCAGTTTAAGATTGAGTAGAAATCTTCAAGGACAAGCTCAAGCAAGAAAAAATAGCTCTTATAGCAGTATTTTTCAAGCACAATGATCGTTTACTTGTTGCGTTAAGAACTTTTACGAAAGAAGCTATATGTTAGTTCTCCAAGTGCGAATTTTGGCTAGACTCGTGGTATTCTTGAGTCATGTGGTATCTAGGGATAGGATAAAGGTGGATCTAAAAAAGATTGAGGCACTTGAAAGTTGGCCCATACCTTCTACTGCTACTGAGATCCGGAGTTTCTTAGGTCTGGCTGGGTATTATCGCCAACTTTATAGAGGGATTTTCATCTATTGCAACCCTATTGACTCAGTTGACTCAGAAGGATGCTCCGTTCAGGGTGCTAGATGGGTGTAAGGAGAGCTTTCAGAAACTCAAGACGGTATTGACTACAACTCTAGTGTTGGTTTTGCCTTCAGGATCAGGATCATGTACAGTTTATTATGATGCTTCGAGGGGTGGTTTTGGATGTGTATTGATGCATGATGATAGGGTGGTTGCCTAGCATCGTATCAGCTGAAATCCCATGAGAAAAACTAGCTGGTGCACGATTTAGAGTTAGATGCCATTGCACACGCGCTCAAAATTTGAAGGCATTATTTATCGCGCCCCTTTTTCTCGCAAAAGCGGGTTTCGACATTCTGAAAACTCGTTTAAATGGGAAATAGAGTGTTAAAGAAGAAGAGTCACCACTTAACAATTTAAGGTGCGTTAGGGCACCGATTATGCAGATAACTCTATTTGACAAGTCAACACCACTAAAGATCGGGTAAGGGCTCAAACTACCTAAAAAGAAGGTGTTAGCCACTCTAAGAGGTCCACAACTGTGGGTCCCGGCCGAACTTAAGGCTATGTGGATTATAATTATGCAAGATAAACAAAGAGAATAAGGGTCAAAGAGTTTTATTATGACACAATGAGAATTGATACAAATCTACAAGGATATAACTATAACAGTCTGTATTATATGACTAAGTGTGTAAAGAAAGGGGGGTTCTAAGTTTTTTAGCCGAAAGAATCACCCCGTGTAACATAAATAATGCTTCGCAACTTCCTTGAGGTAGGAAGTTATTCATATTATTTAGCGGGCACGGACTATCATCTCCTGCTACCCGATTACTATGTTAAAGTTGTTTACCTAAAAGTGCTCTAATTCAATTCTAAATCGTACCCTATGCGTGCACTAACCATCCCATGCCTATGGCCCAGGAGTCTTTGGACCGCTATTTGGGTGGTTCTAGACTTTGCTTAGGCTGCTCAAAATGATAAAACTAGGCGATATATAAAACAACTAGGACTTCATGTAAAGGCAGTTAAGGGCTCAAGTTAGCCTCCACACTTAGACAACAAATGCATGCATGCAAATTCTCAAATTAGGCATTAGACAGTTTCAGAATTGAGACTTAAAATCCTATAGGAGGTAGTAAACTATTTGCAAGCTTATAGCTATTAACGCTGATTTTGTATACATGTTTCTTAGGAAGGTGACATTGTCCTATAGGCATGATTTCTAATAGTGGCATAGTTAAGCAGTAAAACAGTGTTTGAGAGTCCAGCATTAACATAGTTGATCTCATAAACCATTTTGAGCGAATGACAATACCCTATAGGTAGAATCTCTAACGACTGATAATTGAAACTAATTTTTAATACTTAGCCCATATAGGCATGTTTTCTATGCGAGCAATATGATAACAATAGAAATAGCAAATTAGCCAATTAATGTCCTAAAGGCATGATTTCTAGATGAAGATCAGTAGAACATAAACTAGTATAATCCTATAGGTATGGTATCTAATGAATATGCTGCAGTTATAAAAATTGAAGGAAAGGTTACTAGCATTTGTTTTCTACAGGCATGTTGTCTAGTAACACATAGCAGTAGATATAGGAATAAATAAAGTACTTAAACTCATCCTGTGATAGTAAACAAGTTGTGTGAGTGCGTGACTCCCCTAATGACATGATTTTTACTAGTGTACATGGAGATTAAACAACATATATGGCAAGTTGATAGCATGTAAATCATACGAACCTATGCATGTTTTCTACCCTTTCATGTAAGCCTTAGAATATACCTATTTTTCCAATTTCACTAACACCCCAAATTATTTATTACAAAATTATTACAAACCGAATGATGAATATAAGTACAAATATTATACAAAAAATGATAGTAGGCCTATAGCAGGCCCAAAAGGAGATATCCAGTAATGCTTGGGCTATCAACAAACTCTTTCTTCGCAAATGGCATGCATAGATCCAAACAGGAGACTATACCCATCAGCACAACCCAAAAGCCATAGAGGAAACTCAAACCAAACGAAACAGTCCCAAATTGACCATATGACCCAAATATTGAACTACACAAAAATCACTTAAACAACCCAGTTTGTAGATTATACAAATAATGCAAGGAAGAAAAGCTAAATGTCAGAAATAGCTCAAGTTCCAACAGCAAAGGGAGTGACCAAAGAACCCCAAATCCTAGTGTTTCAGAGTTCACAAGGGTCTCAAATGGACCCCGAGCAATGCTCACACTAGAGAGGTCAATAGAGAGAGTTTTGGTGGCCTTGTCTTTCAGCCGGCCAAGAGTGATAGATACAAAATAGTGTAAGTAACAAATGAGAGTGAGGGAACAGTGATAAAGTGATAGAATTTAAAGAGGTGCACTCATATTTTGAAGCAGACATAGCAGGGGTGATTAAACAAAGAACATACAAGCAAAGAGAATCAACAAAACTCAAAGGACAGGTTGATATCACAAGTTCAAACACTTAGCAGATTGGA